TTACTCCTGCTGTTTGTATTCTTGTTTAAATAAATATTTAATTTTAATTCTCAAGTTCTTATTATTTTTGTTTTTTGTTTTTAATATATTTTGCGCACTTTTCTCGCAACTCCTTGCTGTAGAAGAGCTCACTCACTTTTTCTTGTTTTATTTTGTATTAATTTTCTTAATTTTTTTTGCTCAACAAAATATTTAAATCAAATCGGCAATATTAGCAGGCATTTCCTCAATAGTAGTGTGATAGAATTGTTCAATATCCTTCAGGATTCGTCGATCATCATCAGTAATGAAGTTGATCGCAACACCCTTACGACCGAAACGACCACCGCGACCGATTCTGAAATTGAACAGAAATTTGTGGATTTAGATAGGTGATCAGATGGATTTTAATGGATATATTTAATTTACCTATGAATATAGTTCTCGCGATTCGAGGGCAGATCGTAGTTAATGACCAACGATACCTGCTGCACATCAATACCACGCGCCAATAAATCAGTGGTAATCAGAACACGGGAAGAGCCCGAACGGAATTGTTTCATGATAACCTCACGATCGCGTTGCTCCATGTCACCATGCATGGCCGACACGGTAAAGTTGTGGCTAGTCATTTCCTGGGTGAGTTGATCGACCTGATGGGTATGATGGATATTGAAATGAATTAGAAATCAAGTCAATAACTGCGCCAAAGCGTGAGGCATCAGGTGTGCTTACCTTGCGACGGGTATTACAGAAGATAACCGACTGGGTAATGGACAGCGTATCGTACAGATCGCACAATGTGCCCAACTTCCAGTTCTCCTGCTTAACGTTCACGTAGAACTGCTTGATACCCTCAAGGGTCAACTCCTCCTTCTTCACAAGAATGCTAACTGGCTCACGCATAAAGCAACGGCTCACTTCGAGCACATCGGGTGGCATGGTGGCTGAGAGCAAGATCACTTGCACATCTGGTGGCAGCATCTTGAACACATCCTGGATTTGATCCTTGAAGCCGCGCGACAACATCTCATCGGCCTCATCCAGCACGAACAACTTGATGTACTGCGTGCGCAACACCTTGCGATTGATCATGTCATAGACACGACCGGGTGTGCCAACCACCACATGGCAGCCGGATTCCAAAATGCGAGCATCCTCGCGCACATTGGTGCCGCCAATGCAGGCATGCGAATGCACCTTCATGTACTCTCCAAGTGCCATAACCACACGCTGAATTTGGGTGGCCAACTCGCGAGTGGGTGCCAAGATCAAAGCTTGGCATTCGCGAATGGACGTGTCGATTTGCTGAAGTATGGCAATCGAGAAGGTGGCAGTCTTGCCAGTACCTACAAGCGATAGCAAACAAAAATACAAGTTTTAATATTTAGTGAAGAATACAAATCATACAAAACTAGTAAAGATAAGAATTTATAATATTATAGAATCTATAATATATATTGTTGTTTAAATGGCATCATTGTATAATCTTTAGCTGAACAGAAAGTTGAGATGTTTTGGCATTGTTTATTAACACAAGATCTTTCATAAGTTACATAATTCAGTGAATTCTACACTCAAAAAGACGACAGACTAGAGGAATATTTATCTTTATAATATATTATGCAACGCAAATTGCCAAACAAAAAGATTTTCAGGTAAAGATTAATTTGTTATATGATTTTGCTTTGTAGTGATTTTTCTTTATGTCTATATTTATACTCTTTTTAAAATATGATATAGAAACAAACCCAAGAACTGAATAACTTTGCCCTCCAAGTATCCAATCTTTCATAATTGTGCTACATAACTTAGTGCACATAAAACAAGCTTTAACAAGAAAAATAAAAATCTGATATTTCATAATATATTACATAATTAATCTCAACTTTTGTTTATTGTTTCTAATTTTCTCGATCGACATAAACAAATATAAGATATTTCTAACTTTTGGGATTCGTGGTCAAGTTAAAAAATGAAAATTAACAATTTTTAACTAAATATAATTTTTGTACTTCGGTTTTTGAGCTTGTTTTACATATACTTGAACTCTTTTTAAAATAAGCATTCAAAACAAAAATAAGAACTACATAAAATCGCCAGCTACGTAAATAAATCAGTTTAAAACGCTTTCACTGCAAAACTCTGGCTTGATCTATGTAGAAGATACTCGAAATTAATTGCGTTTTTGGCTAACATATGCTTGCATATATGTACATATGTACACATATACATATATATGTTTTTTTTTTTTGTGTTGATTATGAGCAACGCCGTTCTAGAAAACATAAAAACGCGGCAAAGACGATCGCAAAAGTGGCGCGCAAGCGCTCAGCCGTAGACTGGGAGAGCATAAGAGTAGGGAAAGTGCATATGTATTAGTGAGAGTTTCAAACGAGAGAGCGAGCACAAGCTGATGTTGCAGTAGACAGCTGAGTCACCGTTATCGTCGTCATACGTTGCTGCTGCTGCACGCTGCGCCCTCATATCAGAAAATCAAAAAAAAAAATTTCTACACTTTCACATTAAAGCAAAAATTTGTTTTCATTTTTTGTTTGCTATATGAATAACTCACCCGATTGGGCCTGGGCAATGACATCGCGACCCTTCACGCAAGGAATGATAGCGCGCTGTTGAATTGCCGATGGCTTCTCGAAACCATAGCCATAGATGCCGCGCAGCAGCTCCTCGCGCAAGTTCATGTCATCGAAATTATCGTAGACTTCATGCCAGGTCGACTCGATGACGCCCTCAGGGTCCATACCAGCGGGACCATCTTGAGGTATTTCACTTCGATCATCCCTATGGAAAGACAAACGAAAATAAAATGAGAAGAGAACATAAAAAAAGAAAACACAAAATGATGTCAGTAATGCAGAAAAATTAGAAATTTTCTTTGCTACGCTTTTTTCGTTTTTTTTTTTTGGTTATGGCGAATCTGCGCTTGGCAACCAAGGTAGCAAAAACGACGACAAAGACAGGTCGGTGGTGACAGCGGCGTTTGGCCAGCAGGCAGCAGGCAAAGCAGGCGAGCTGGCCCAGCAGCAGCGTCAACGGTGGCGGCGGAAGTAATAACACTTACATTATCAACAATAAAAAATTGACTAGTTAAATTTGTATACTGAATTTCGACGGCTTTAGCACCGTTCAGTTAAACAATTTCTGTAATAGTTGTGTCAAAAAATTTGTAACGAAAATTTTTTCTACAGAGTGCACACAAACGTGTTTTGTTGTGCGTGCTGCTCTGCGGTATTTTCACGATTGCGAGCGAATGCCAGTGTGAGTTTTAACGACCGCTAGGCGGCCTTTTGAGCAGCGTCTGTCGAGTGTGTGTGTGCGAAAGAGTACACTAGATGTGTCAATGTCAGTGGTTGCTCAGTTCATGTGAGTGTGTGTGCGTCAGAGCAGTAGAAAGCTATCAACTCTTAACTGCAGTGTTGCATGTGCGTTGTACTTGGGAAATAGTAGCATAAGTTAGGCAAAAAAAAAAGTACTAAACATTGAAGCTGGTAAGAAAATAGTAAGCCAACAGGCAATTTTAAGGCGTGCGTTTCAACCACTTGCAAGAGCGAATGATTGCGTAGAGGGTGAGGTTGAGAAGAGCAGAGAGTAAATCAGCAGAGCCCCAAGATTCTGTGAATTCCCCGCATTATTCAAATATATGTATATTCTACAGATATTTGTGTTAGATATGAATAAATAGTTGGCGATAGCAGCGTTGGCATTGGATCGCTATAGGTAGTCATTGTCCATTTTAATGTCCAGTCAGTGCCTATGAGTCAAAGTATGTGTCAGATTGCGTGCGTGTGAGAGAGAGAGGGAGTGAGCGAAATGTATTTTATTGCAATGATTTCATTGTTGCTGCGATCCAGACGAACTTATTTTTTGCAAACCAATAAACTCATTTGACCTCGCATGAAACTCAGTAGGTGCTGTATTTTCTTTGTTATTTATTAAACATGTATCATTCCAAAAGAAAATACATATATAAGTATATATCTTTGACCCAACACACACCATCAACAACCACTGAATTCTCTCTTGTTCGTATTCTCGCTCTCTCTCTCTCTCTTCGTCAATGCCAGTCACTCGTGCCGCAACGTCCGCCGTCGTCGTGTAAAAATTCTTTTTGATTTGTATTTCACATTTTGGGTTAAATTTTCAAATGTAGTTTTTAGTACTATTGCTCACTTAAACTGGCTTAATTTTGTCAGCAAAATTTTGCAAACTGCCTTGGTTAATTGTATTTCACGTATTATGAATTAAATCGTTAAATAATACTAACATTTTCTGATTACTTTTTGGCACTTTTTATACACGTGCTGCTGATTGTTAAAACCAAGCAAAAGAGGCTCCATCTTGCAAAACTTTTAGTGATGTAAGGAAAGCATACCAGTTATCGATATATCAAGCTTCAACTATCGAATTCTTCCACACGATTTTACATAGACTACAAAGGGCGTGCTCATTTTAAAATTCTTGTATTTCTTTTTCTTAATATATATTGCATATTTTATGAAATATTTGAAAAGATTAAGTATAAAACTATCAACAGCAATCGATAAGCAAACATCATGTCATTCGTGCCGCCATTCGATGAAAAACAATTCATATGAAATTAACTAAATCCAATTTTTTCTATCCCGACTCCTTTAATATAAAGAATTTATTACTGATAAAATTATCAAAAAACATTTTGAGAACATTTTTACTTATATATCGATCCTACTACTATCGAACTACAGTATTTTTCCATTGGAGCATTTGGTATTTATAAATATATAGTTAAAATAATTTTGATGTGAATAATATAAACTAACACTGTTATAATATGAGTAGAATTTCAGAAGCAATTAACTTATTTTACAAAATAATCCTGTTGTTTTTTAACAATACTATACTATATGTATCGAATATAAATTCGCCGTGTAGTACAATCGCGATAAAAAAAAAATCGATTTACCTATATTATCGATGTTTTAGTTGCCTAAAGTCAGTATAATTTCATCGCCGCATCGCACAGCGTGTGAAAAGTGTGAGTTAGCTTTGAATTTTAACAAATTAAGCGTATTAACTAAAAATTGCTTAATGTGTGCACATTTTAATCCATGTTTGTGTGTCCAGCAGTCATAGTAACAACAACAATGTAAGCAGCAAGGCGTAGTTTCAATTAAATGTCAAGTTTCAATTGAAAGGCCGACTCACTCACACGCATACACTCTCGCATATGCGTGTATTCGCCGACGGCGTTGGCTGTGCGCATATGTATATACACACATATATTGGTGTATGTATATAAAAGTGTGCAAAAAAGAAATGAAAAAGTTAAGCAGCCGGTCGGTGTCTTGCTGCCATTGCAAGTATTAAGTCTTTATCGTCCAAAATTGGTGCCTGGCCTTGCGATTTTGTTTTATTTTCGATGGGGTCTTTGTTGAGTTGACTTTTCAGAAGATATAGATAAATATAAAAATTGTTCGTATATATACAAAGAAATCTACATTTAAAAATTTTTAAAATCTATTTTTAATTTATGATTGACCATCGTCGTCTACTCGACCGGCCAGAAAAACACTCAAGCTGCGCCAGAAAAGGCCGATTCATAACACACATATATACACATACAGACGCATATATATATACTCTCTTAGAAACAGGCAAGGAGACTTGAGACTGTTGAGTCATCGCCTGCTCTCACTCACTCATTTGCATTGCGCGACCGGCGATTTATAACGGCCATATATGCCATTTCACTCGCACACAAACTCCAGCGCACAGTTATTGGCATTGCACTCACCGAGTGAAGAATCGGTGGGTGAGCGCCGAGTGCCAAGCGTCGGCGGCGGCAGCTGTGACTCACGCGCGCTCTGAGTGTTTTTTTCTTCTCAATTTTCCATGCTTGGAGCCACTAAACAACATTTTGCATTCAATCGTTTTTGTCATTCTGTGCAAGTCGGACGTGTTGGGGCTGCTGCTGCTGCTACGTACGTTTTACCCTCTGTTCAGAGTGTGTTTGTGTGTGTGTGTGCTATCTCTCGTTGGATGTGCTAGTGTGTGTGCGCTTTTTTTGAAGAAACAGCAAATTAAAAAAAAAATATATATATATATATATATAAGAAAGAAAAGAAAGAAGTATGCACTGCTTTTCGAGTCTCCCATTAAAAATCGACTGATGCGACGCACAAACCAAAAAAAAAAAAAAAAATTGCAAAATTTCACATTTTTATCCAAAGGAGTAAAGTTTAAAATCGCCAAATTATCGTTAATTTCACCTTATATCTATCTATTTTCTACCCTCTCTCATTGCAGTTTAAATAAGTTTCCTTAAACAAATTACGTAGAAAACGACGATTTTCTCGCTCTCGCTTAACTAAATTTCTTAGTGGCGTGAATAGTGTATAACAACAACAGCAACAAACGCGCGTGTGTAAAATACAACAAATACATAATACCCTATATTTAATAGTTTTTAACAACCACAACAACAAATACAACAACAAACTACAATCATGAGCTGGCAAGATTATGTCGATAACCAACTTTTGGCCTCGCAGTGCGTTAACAAGGCGTGCATTGCCGGACACGATGGCAACATTTGGGCGCAGTCTAACGGCTTTGAGGTAAGTACTGTTAACCGTTAATACCATTCAGTTCACAAATCTTGCCCTGAACATAACTTTGTCTTTGGAGTCGGCTTTTCGACACTGAAACTTTTCTTTACCAAGTTCAAGGGTGTGACCAGCAGAACCAGTGTATCCTCACACACACATATTTATATATATATACATGCACAGCAACAGCTCCCACTCACACAAAGAGAGCAACAATAGTGTTAGGCAAAAGTGTATACCCCAGGCGGACTTTTTCTTGAATTGGTCACATATACGTACATATGCAGAGCTGCAGCAGCACCAACTCACACAAAGAGAGCACAATAGTGTTAGCCAAAAGTATATACCCGAGGAGGACCTTTCCTTTAATTGCTCCAAATGAAATTAATTTCAGCAGCGGACACACATTCCAAATTTCTTATATTATTGCCATTAAATTAACAAACTCTTCAAATGTAAAATTTTATTTTGATCAATTTTAGCAATTCCAAAAACATTACAAATTTAGTATAATATTGGCATACTTGGAAATTGATAAATTTGTCAAATGTCAAAACTTGGCTTGTTTAATTTTTAAGACTTCAAATTTCAGGTATGCAAAGTCTATCTAAAAAAAAGAAATAATATTAACACAAAATCAACAGCATACCAGATGAATTTTTACAGGCATTACAAAATATTTTAAAGTATTATTTCAATAATTTCTATTAATTTTAGTATATTTAACATGTTTTCAGTTTCCTTTTGGGTTTTCAATACTTTTCACTGGGCCGTCCGCCATTTATACTTTTATTTCGTTTGATAAAGCAACTCCCACCCTCTATGGGTGTGCACCCCCTGGAAGAGCGCTCTCTTTCAATTGCTCTCTCTTTCTCTCGCCTCTCTTCAGCTGTCACCAATACAGCCGATTGCGCAGCTCTCCACTGCTCAGCTTCAGCCTCTCAACCGTCTGTCTCAGTCACCCACATATACAAATGCAAAAACTGAACAAACAAAAGAAAAACAAAAAAACATCCTTAGTGACTGTAAAACTGTTGGGCAGTAGCTATCAAACTGGCTGATAAGAAACTAGCCGAGATGCTGTCAGAGAAGTTAATTATTTATAGCGCAATTAGGCACATCTGGACAGCTTGGTTTTGGGCTGGGTTGCTTTGCATTATCAGAAGCACAAATTTCGATTAATTTGTGAGTCATCTGCTCAGGTGGATTAGTCATTCAATTGAGCGTTGAGCCAAAGATGATTCGTGCATTTGATGAAAGGTGTTTGCTTGCACTGAGCGCGCTGTCTTTGTCTGCGAATATAAATACATATATGTATATTATTAGGGATGTGTGTATGTGCCTGAGTAATTTTTCATAGCGGGTTGGCCACCGGCACCCAGCTCGAGTATTTGTGCACTTTTCAACACTGATGTGATAGCGCTGCGTTGTTTTTCCCCTGCGCGCACTCTTTCTTACTGAGCTCAGATGAAGTATAAATAGAGAGAGGCTCGGAGAGAGAGTGAAATAGAGAGAGACATTGCCCTTTTACGCGGCTCACCGCTCGACGCATATCATAAAATTACTAACCGGCCTTATTTGCTCTTATCAACATACACACACAAACACACATGTACACAAAGCACTTCACTCAATAGATTGATATGCACATGTGTGTGTTTATTATCTTTGTTTCCTCTGCAGGCAAAAAAAAAAAAAAAAAATATTTTTTATCACTAAAATAATGGAAAAAAAAAACTAAACGCGCAAGTTTCGACTTGATTGGAAGTGAAACGAAAGAAGAAATGTATCTCGAAAAAAACGCAGCGGCCACAGTGCCGCGTCATCAGCGTCTACAACATATTTTATATGCGAGCCACGTTTTCGCATTTACTTTATATGTGTATGACTGGATGGGTGTGTGTGTGAGTGAGTGAGTTTGTGCAACTTCCTGCTGACTCCTCATACTTTGTCCTTTGTTTGTGCGTCTGTTGCGCCCCCCATTCATGCTTGATTTTTTTTTTTAATTTTCTGTTCCATTCTTGTCCGTCTTTGCCCAGGGGTGGGGCCGTGGGACACTCCCCTGCATGTGTTTTGTAATATATCAGTTTCTTTTTGCGAATAATATCGATAATTCTTTCATCGATTTGAATAATTTATGTGCAAAATTTACATACTCTAAAAAGATTGAACTAAATGTGAACTAAATGAACTACTCAAAATTTGCTGCTTCTGCACGAATGAATTAATTGTTAAAAAAAAAAGTAAATATAATTTCTTAAGCCTCGGGTAAAAGTGATACTTTGTTTTTTTTTTAGTATAAATATTTTAGTTGCCATCATCATCATCGACGATTCAACGTCAACAGCAGCTACAACCTTCGTTTTTTTTTTGGCCATTTGTTGTGTTTGCAATTCTTCACACGGCTTTCGCGTACATCCATGAATCTCACTTTCATTTTGTGGTTTGGCCTCCGTTCGATGTTATGTATTTGACTTTTTTTTTTTTTGCCTTTGTCGGTGCTTTACTTGTACGGTTATTTATTTTTATTTAATTTGTGGCTTATTGCTTTCGCAGTTACTATGTTCGCCTAGCTGAGTTACCTATATTTGTACCTCAATTTGTTTGGTTTGTTATACATTTTTGTAATCGTGATTCATCGCAAAATTTTTTAGTAATTTATTTGAATTAGTATCAGCTGCTGTTTGGCATTACCAGATTGTTTTTATTATTATTATTATTATTATTATTTTTTTTTTTTATAAATGTGCATATATGTATTTGTATGTTTGTGTGCTTGCTTGTGTCTGTGAGCGATTTTCGAGCCAAAAGTTCTTGACTCTTATCAATAACGTTTCTTTACGTATTATACTTTGGTTTTCAGTTTCGTGAAATATACACACAGATGGAGCGTGCCATAAAAACCGGCTGCTTTATAAGTACAAAAATATATATATGAATATATGTAACTTTTTTTTTTTTATTGCACTTTAAAAAAAAAGTAATTTATTTCCCTTTTTGTTGTGGCTAGACAGCAGAAAAAATCATTCGCTGTAATTGTTGTTTTTGTGGTCAATGCCTTGTCTATTTGCGTGCATTTCTGAAAGTAATTGAGTGATTTTGATTAATTTATTGAACATTTTTGGCATACCTACAGCTTTGTTTGCAAAACCGGCTTTATGAACTGAGCTATCTCTCTTTCGCTCTTTGTCTCTAATTCACTCCATCACACACTCGCACACATACGAATACACTCAAACGTTTACGCTCACATTGGAAACTTCTGGAAAGTTTTTTTTCTTTTTTTTTTTTTGGCAAAATTCTCTCTTTTGGTCTCTCTCATTCTCCCCTCGAGTGTCATTAACATATTGGCCGCATGTGCCGCAACAACAACTTAACAAATGACTAATTATTAATCATATCGTATCTATTGAAATCTATTAATTTTATTCGCGAACTTTCGTGGCGCTTGGTATCGTGAAGAGCGGGAGAGGACAATATGCCCCCTTATTGCAAACTATTTTGTCCTGCAAATAATGTTAATACAAATTTTGCGTGGGGCAAAGTGGCAACTCCGCCCTGTGGGGAAGTGTTGGCAAACTAGTTTTTGCTTATTACAACTACAAAATCAAGGCAAACGGTCAGCCGTTCCTTACTTCTTGTTGTTGTCGTCCGTGGTGTTGCTGTTGCTGCAGCAGCGGCGTGTTTCGCATTTTGTTAATGAGCTGGTATACGTCTTGGTCGCCGTCGTCATCTTCATTTCATGGGTGGTGAATGTAGGCAGTGGTGGGTTTTTGTTTGCGCTCTCTCGCTCCCTCCTAGTAGGCTTTAGCCTATTTGAGTGGGCTGTTGCTGATTGTAAAATGAATGTGTTTTAAGCTGACGCACGACTCATTCTCTGTGATACTGTGTTTCTTTGTAAGGACACAACAACGCAGGATGCATAAATTTAGAATATTTATGGCACGTGTGCGTGCCGCATGCCTCTTGTAATGGCATACATATGTATATTTATATTATTTTTTGCTTATACTAATCTGAATTCAAATTTAACCTTTTGTTTTTGTTTTTATTTCTGTGCAGGTCACAAAGGAGGAGCTGGCCAAATTGATAAGCGGCTTTGATCAACAAGACCTGCTTACCAGCAACGGTGTGACATTAGCCGGCCAACGGTACATTTATCTCTCAGGCACAGATCGCGTGGTGCGCGCAAAACTGGGCAGAAGCGGTGTGCACTGCATGAAGACGACACAAGGTGAGTGAAAAATGAAAATCAAATCAAGCCAGAGCTGCCAACTGTCTGGAGAGATTTGTTGATATGTTTGCTGTTGAGTATGTGTGGTACTTTTATTTAAGGAAATTATTTTTGGTAGTATATTTGTTTACTGTTAGGTATAAGCAGTATTTTAAAAGGATTTTTTTTAAAAATATGAATAGATAAATTGGATTCTATTTTTCATACTTCCTGTTGAGTATATGAGGTACTTTTTTAGGATTTTTAAGTTGGAGAATGTATCAGAAACGTTAACATGAACTGTTATTGTTATCAGCTTTGTTTTTTTCTTTTCATATTATTTATTCCTTGCAATACTTTGTGTGTATGAATAATGTATAGAGGTGCAAAGCATTTAATCTCAAGATAAGTGTTTCGACTTTGCGACTTTCAGAGTAGCCTAAAGCTCTAAGAATGTTGATAAACATTTAACATTTACGTTGTTGGATATTTATATTTCCTATGCATTTGAATGATGAACGAAGTGCAAGTGCAAGTGAAAAACAAATAACACCCAGAGCAGAGCAGAGCAGCAGAGCGGCAACAGAGTCGACGATTTACATGTGTGGAAAATGTGCAGTTAATGTGGTTCCATAGTGTGCCACGTAACAACAACAACAATGAACGTAACGAGCTGTAAATTATAGGCAATCATTACGTGCCGCTGCAGTTTGTTGCTCCATTTTTCCGGTCAACTGGTGGCACCTCCTGTGATATATAAAAACAGGCAAAATCAACTGCGGTTACGTTTCGTTTTTCAGTCAAGTTTGAAATTATTTTGTTTGTATTATTGTCGTTTAAAAAATAAAGTTTTTTTTATCATTTAAAAAATATATTTAATATCATTATTATTATTATTTTTTTTTATGTTGTGCTTTACACCTTGTGCAATAAAGTAAATATATATATTTGTTTTGTTTTGGTCGTGAAAACTCTAGAAAGCAGCTGTCTAATAATATGTGATCATGTGTGTGTGCCTGTGTGTGTGAGTGCCATGAAACTAAATTTGTTTTGCAGCTTGTTTGCCGACGTCGTCTTCCATATTTGTCTAGTTTGATATATGTGTTAATTTCTATCTGTGTGTATGCGTGTACATATACATCTATCTTTTTTTGCGGCAACTGTTGCGCGGCGTTGCTGGCCGCTGCCCGCTGCAGCAGCCGCTACAAAGCTCAAGGTTATTGCCATAATCCATTTCAAGTGCAAATGTTGCACAGAATAAGCCGCAAAAGCAGCAGCAAAGCGAGCAAGTAGCATATAAATGGAAATAGGCAAACAAAAAAAGGCATAAAATGGAAATAGGCAAAAAAAAAATAAAAAATAGGCATAAAATGGCAAACTGGTCGCTGCTCTCTCATTCTTTTTCTGCCTGTCTCGCTTGTGTTGACCTAGCGGGCAGCTAGTATGTGTGTTGGTGTGTGTATGTGTTGGCGCCTGGATTAGGCTCTTTGGCCACTTGCTTTGACTTTATTTGGCATTAAATTTGAGCTCTTCGAGGCTGGGCTTTGTTGCTTAGCACTTGCGCTGATAGCGCACAGCTTAATATCGATTAAATTACCTGGTACTGCATTTACCGCAAATTACACGCTGCTCAAATGGCCATCGCATTAGCAGTGTTTCTCTGTGTGCGTGTGTTTGTTTATAGCAATTAAAATGCGCGTATAACAGCGCGTTTAAACTGTAATACAACTTGATATGCATGCTTGTTTAATATAACAGCAAGTAGTTGTAGTACGCTTGAAATATTTCAAGGCATGCGGCGCAAAATTTGTGTAATTAAATATGAAATGAAATGTAATATTAGCATTCTGTTCGCTATCAGACAAACAAGGCAGGCACATTAACAGCATTTATATCGCGCAATCATCAGTTATCGATTGCCATTATTGTGCGTCCTCTGCCGCTGCCCCTCTGGTGAGTGGGTGTTGCCAGCCAGTTGGGCAGGGAGGACACTACAAGTGCGCACATGTGCGCGTGTGAGTGGATGTCAGTGTGTGTGTCTGTCTATGCTTGTACATAAATGCTTGCTCTCTTCTTCGTCCGCGACATGACACTTAACTTTTGGTTTATTGACCCCAGTTGGAAATTTGGTTGGCTTTGATTTGATTTGCTCGAAGCGTCAATCAATTGGGTTAACAACAATTTGCTGCACAATTGATTAATGTAGTAAGCCGGGTAGGCCACACTGGCAGACAGCCAGACAACAGCCACAAGCATCCACTTGACTTCGACTTGAGGCGCGATTCGTTTACATTTCATCAGTATTTCAATGTAAGCTGCCGACTGTTTGGCAGCCTGGTAGAATTGTCATTCAATATTGTGTTGTGGCCGGTCTGTCCGGTTTTCACCTGGTCCACAGTCTTTCGCTCCCTCGCTCCTCTCTCTGTTTGCTCTCCACGCTCTTTTATTGAGCGTTTTATTCATAATTTTCTTGCTGCTGATGTGTTAAATACAGTTAGTTCTTGTTTCTCTATTGCTGCTTGATGCCGTTTGCTTTCTCTATTTCATTCGTTTCTCTGTGTGCTGTATTGTCAACCGGATAAGCAGCTGAAGATGTTAGTGTGAGTGTGTATGCGTATGCCTCTTTCTCTGAGTGTGTGTGTGGAATTATGTAGCCATGTTGAAATAGCTAAAGAGATTTCTACTAATGATTAGATTGGATGTGTTGAGTATAGAATGTTCATTGGCATCTTTGGCCAGGGTTAATAACGCATTGTGCTGCCGATAGCATTATTGGGGTCTAGTGTAGATGCCAGGTCTTCCATATATATATATATATATATAAATACTATATATCTATATCTAATAATTTTATACAATTCTTTGTTTTGCTCTTCCTCTCTTGCAGCCGTCATTGTTTCCATCTACGAGGATCCTGTGCAACCCCAGCAGGCCGCTTCTGTGGTGGAGAAACTTGGAGATTATCTGATTACTTGCGGGTACTAGAAAATAACTGAATACAAAAATTATAAAAGCAACAAGAATTCAACACCATCAAAACACACACCAACAACAACAACAACAGCAACAAAAACACAACAACAAATTCGCTAAGAAAAACCGTAATATGAACTAAATAACTAAAAGAAGATAAAAGTAATTATTAATATTTAAATTTTATGAGAAATGCCAAGAAAATATATATTTTTTGAGGTAATTGTGGTCAAACAGATCTGAAACTTAAAATAACAATTTAAGAACAATGTCAAAGAGTGTTTATAAACCATCCACAGCATCAACATCTTAATTGCCCACAAAACACCTACAACAAAATTATAAATTTCTGCATTATTATATTTAAACATTTTTTGGTTCATACGATAAAAATAATAATAATAAAAAAAAATATACAAAAAACAAAAACGAAACAAAATCTTAAACTCAACATAAGCTAAAAGAAAAACGTATTGGAAAGCATTTTGTAAGCAACACAAAAATAATAAGACGAAGAACTAGAGGATGAAGAAGAAGCAACAAACGCAAAGCAACGCAGGCAAATTTTTGAATACTTTTTTTGTACAGCAGTTTAGTACACAAATATATATACACCGATCTAAAAAACATACGCAGAGACTAATTGAGAGTGAGTGAGAGAGAGATAGAGCTAGGAATGGGAGAGGGAAGGGTATTGTGAAACCCAAACAGAATATGGAAAAGAGAAAGAATGATAAGTCAAGCAGCAGCGAACACACACAACAGGTAAATACTAACCAATATAATTGATATATAAGTATATGTATATGTATATTTATATATGTAAACTATTTGGAGAACCATGAAGCTCTATTTTTATGTGGCAGGGAAGATACATACACATGCAAAAGAAAAAAAAATCGAAAATAAACAGCCGCGCAGTGAGCTAGGCAATTTTTTATACCAGAGAACTTTCAGAATATTTGTGTAATATTTGAAAAAGCAAATAAACAAAGTGAGAACTAAACTAAAACTAGAAAAGAATATATACACATTCTTTTAGCCATATTTAAAATCTATGCTCATCATTGGGGTGTTTTAGTGAAGGAGTAGAAGAATATAAAGACGAAGACGAAGTCGAAGGAGAAGCAGATTCCAAGCGAACACCAACAACACGCACACATTTATCCGTTTTCCAAACCGTCTCATCTAGCCATACATATATAGATACATACATACATGCATACATATAAATGAACATACATACAAATACCTATATATTTGGTCACTTGCGCCATTTGCTCTCTCTTTCTGTATGCGCTTTTCATGTTCGTAATTTTGCAATATTCATAAAAAAAAAAAAAAAAAAAAACGCTAAGACATCATACACACTTATCGATAAACGATATACGGCAAATGACGCGCATTTCGAACGCTGTGCAACACTGTCCGCCTACTGCCGCCAGCCGTTGATTTGAATGCCCGCGCTTTACAGGATCTTTGCTGAGTAGACAAGAAGAAGAAGAATGACAAGAATTGGGCAATTCAATTTTGTCATTCACAAACACAGATACACACATACATTTACATGCATGCAAGTAATAACGAAAAGTAAATCAAATCAAATATACGAAAAAAAAAGAAAACTAAACAAAAACAAAAAATTTACAAATTACTTAAATCATACATAAATAAATGGCTTTTTATGTTAGTTAAACAAAAGTCCCAACATTTTCCAACATTTCTTTTTCTCCATAAAGCGTCAAAATTTCATCAAAATTAAAAAGAAACCCATGAATGCATAAATATTAAATACATAATATGAAATTAAAAAAAAAAAGGAAATGAAAAACCATATATAATACGATACTTTAATACTATTGAAATAAAAAACAGAGCATGGCAAAAGTCCTACTCATAAAAATGATAATTATGTGTGTTTTTTTGTAATGTAAAGAAATAACGGGCCATTGACTTGGTTGTTGGGGCTTCGTGCCACAGATTGCGAATCGATAGTTCAATGAACTTTCCGCTATCAGTGGAAAGAAATTGGTAAGCTACTATATATTGAGCAACGGTTCTCTTTGTCTTTGTGTTCCTTTTCTGATTTGCTGTAAAATTCATAAACTTATTTTTAAGCTCAATGTCTGACGTAATTGCGCAATTATTTTGCAGAAATAATATGCAAATATATATAGGAATATTTTCGCACATTTATAAATATATTTATATTTTCTCGTTTTTATGTCCATTTTCTCACAGCAGCTGCTTTGCGCCTCAGCAATTGACATTTTCAGCATATTTCTTTCGTTTTTTTTATATACTCATTAACGAAAGTGAAATGGGTATATTGATTTTGTGCACTGTCCACTTTGCTCTCCGTCCGTCTGTCGGCAATTCATTGCGACGTTATTCTAGGTTGCTAGGTTGGAACGTATAATAGGGCATACCCTAGAATTATACAAACAAGATCTTATCGATCCGCTAACTAAGGGCATAGCAAATCGGAAAATACATTTTCCTGTATCAGATACTTGGAAATAACCACAATATGATATAGCCCATATACTAAGGAATTACCAGCGTTTGGGTCGTTAATGAGTAAGCTGTCGTCGGTAATGCCCGATTGCAATATTCTTACTTGCTTTTTTTTTTTAGTCTTCGTGGCCCACAACATTGACCCAAATTAGAAATTCGTGTATACACCAGAGCGAAAATCTTCGCACATCTTTCCTTTTTTTTTTTTTTTTTTTTTTTTGCCACTTTCGCTTTTGAATGAATTTCTTCTTTCTTTTTTTGTTGAGTGAAAATCAAGTTTTTTTTTATCGATTGCACAATTAATCAAGGCATATCATTAGCTATCTTTGAGAGTGTGACTGGGTCAAACTTTTATTATTATTATTTATTTCTTCTTACCCATAGCAATTTGTGACTCGTGCATGTCGTTTTTTCTTAGGTTTTATAGCTCTAACGGCAAAGTAACACAAAAAAAATGTTAAATATATATATACAATACATATATACAAATCTGAATAATAATTGTCCCATTTCATATTTTTACATTTTGATTTCTATAATTTTTGTTAATTTATTCAAGTAATTGTAATGCAGCGTGAGCAAAATCGAGCAAAAAGGCTTTTTACTATCATAAGCTAAACATATTGCTTAGTAACTTGCCATCATTAGTTTCATGTTCTGATATGCACTTTTTAAGTAATACTCCACGGAACACAATTAAAATTGTTCGATTTCGAAAATTTTTCGTGCCAATTTTTATACCTAAAAGCGTCAACAAATCAGCTGACTTTAAGGCGTTCCCACAAGGAAAGAATTGACCCCAAAAATTCAGAAAAAAATGTTTTCCATCTAATTGGAGTGTTAACAACTAAGGAATAACAAAATTTTCTTAATATTTCACCGTCAATTTTTTGACTTTATGCCGCATATCACGGAAAATCGCCCATAGTGCAGTGGTTAAAATAATCTTTCTGAAGATTAGAGAAAATACCATTTCCTATCCTAGATCGTCAATGCGCGTCACTTATTCATATACAGTAACATGCGATGCATTCAATATATATATTAAAGATATCCCTTACATACTTACGCTTACATGTTGAGAAGGAAATAAAGTATATCGAAGTTTTAGATATGTTCATGGGAACAGACTTATCCGACAAAATCGGCAAATGCTCTGTTTATCTATATATTTCCCTTAACAAATCAAAGAAAGTCCCTTCTATAAATCTGTAGAATAAATGCTGTACATATTCCTATACAAATATTCAATGGGTGTTCCAAGAAAATTGAAAAAAACCAATAAATTTTAAAGTTTTTTTCATCAAAGTTGGGAAGATTTTCTCCTACACAGATAATTCTAGTTCTTGGATACACTTAACTGTTATTGGACAGTGAACGTCTCTCATACACCCTGTCGATCCAGTCCCTGCTCTAAGATATTTATTAAAAGATTCACTTACTGCTTACACACACATAAGTACATACGTAGAACTCATCAAGTGTTAAAAAAGTCTTCACTTCACTCAAGAATTTAGAATACACATACATTTAGATGACGAGATGACAAAATGCCGCTTAGAAACCGGTTTGCCCCTCCCAGACGCGCAACTGTTCCACGGATAGCCAAAAGAGGACCGACCAGGGCCCCAGCCGCAGCCAGCAGGGTATTAGACCCTTGTACAGATTCATGACACCCTCCTCTCTAATCAATTTGTAAACGCAGTCAAGCGAATTCTTGTAATAGAGGCCTTTCCCCTTGTCGTCGGTGGGCTGGTTCATCATGCGTGACTTAATAACATCAGCCGGATTGCTGAGCACACTGGCCACCAACCCGGCGACCATCGATGATGCCAACCGCAAGGCTAAACCCTCACGCATACCTAAGTGTTTCTTTAGATTGCGTTTACACAGATCATAGGCGCCCACGTCTCCGGCCGTCATGAGGCAGGCGCGCATGCAGCTGGGACCGACGCCACGCCACATGCCAATTATTCCAGATTTCCTGTAGACGGTTTGCAGCACATTCGGGAAGCTGGTGCTGCGTGGCGCCAGCCCCAGCAATTTCCGCCTGCCCTCCATTTGCATGCGCACCTTGGCTATGTCGAAGGGATTGGCCAAGGCCTGGGCTATACAGCCGGCGGCGCTACCGCACATAAACGCATGATGTACCCGAATGGACTCTTGGTGTTCGCTATCAACGTAGATGTACGGTCGCCGGAATATATCGTACAGCATCACGCGCATCGAATTGAATATGAAATTCCGTAGCACCATGGCCGAGAAGCCGGCATAGAGAGCCTTAGGACCCTCCTCGACCGCAATGCCATACAATGTCCGGAACATTTTGCGCGGCTTGGCGCCCGTCTTCTTCTGCTCCTCGCCGTACATCTGCATCCGAGTCTTGCCCACGTCCAGCGAATACATACAGCCCTCCGCAAAGTTGGCGCCAATGAATGTGTTGATATAGAGCATCAGTAGATTTTTGAAATTGATCTCCTCCTGAGAGTTGGCTATGTTCCTGGTGAATTGCTTCTTCTGCAACGGCTTCATGTGCCAATAGTCATTCTCATCCCTATTCATTATTATGTCAATTTGGATTTACTAGCTTTATTGCAATCAAATGGATACGATAAAAATAATTTTGACAGTAGTCACAAGGAATGATACACGTATGTTTTTGTTGTGTGATAATATGGACAACATACTAATTTTGGATATAATCTAATAGGCCTCATCGCCACGCCATCTACGTATTTGCTCAAAGGTTGTCCAGAATATCAGGGTCCACGGACCGATGCGCATCCAGTAGGGAAAGAAGCCTTTGTACATTGCAAAGGCGCCTTCCTTCTGCACCAACTTTTTGAAACAGTCGATCGTACCACTGTAGTGGACGCCTTTGCCACTAGGTGCGACCGGCTGATTCATGATCCGTGACTTGACTACATCCATCGGAGTGCTGAGCACGGCGCAAGCGAATCCCGCTATCATCGCACCCATAAACTGAATCCGGCGATCGTCTGGCATATCTAGAAGGACCATCATCTTACGTTTGCTAAGATCGTAGACACTAATGTCGCCTGCAAACAATACCATCGATTAGGTATATTCATCAAATACTCTAGGTCGTATGTGGAAACGTCGAGTATATGGAATAGTAGTAGAAAAGTAGAGTTCGTTCTCTTGAAAGCTTAAGCTTCGGTACTTGATAGAATATTAGATAGAATAGAATATTTTAGTTCACAGACAAGGAACACCCTTATTATACTGATTCCTAGCTCTTTTTTTGCTTTCATTTTTGAGGGACGGTAAGGAAATATGCGTAATATCACTATTAACCAGAAATATAACATAAATGAACAGGGAATATCCTTACTGGTCGTAGTCTAACTCTTTTCTCAGATCCCTGGTAAATTATATACTGATATAATTTGTAAAGAATTTCTTGATTAAAATTCAGGAAAAGCTCTTTTCTATGCTTTTTTTTTAAAGCAAAGATAGCCAATACAAGATAAATGGGTTTCTTAAATCAACTAGCGGGAATACCTCTAATATTCGTAATTTACAGTACTAGTATTAACGGTACTATTTGTAACTACTATTTCTTTCGATGCAAGATTTATAAATAAAGAATCTTCTAATTGCTTGAATCGATGCAAGATTCGAGAAAATCCTTACTAAAATCAATATCTTTGCTTGGTCCTAAGCGTTACGCAAATATTCCCTGGTAACCCCTGTTTTAGACAAGGCATACCTATACAATTCCTGCAACCACTTACCTAGCGTTACGAGTGATGCACGTAACGCATTCGGGACGGTACCCTTCCAGAGGCCTCTTATGCCGCCCGTGGTATAGAAATAGCGCAGGGCCTGAACAACATTTTTCACACGTGGCTCTTCGCCTAATGAGCGTCGACTGCTCTCCATCTGCATCTGCACCTTGACTAGATCGGCGGGTGACGAAATGAAGTTGGCTAGACCGCCGGAAAACATGCCGGCAAAGGCGCTGCGGAAAAAAGTCAACTTTGGCTTTCCGTCGCGATCTTTAATGATCAACGCGTCGCGCAACGTATCATAGAAGTACATCTTCATGCCAGTAAACATGGAGTGACGAAAGAACATGGCCGATAGCCCGCCATATAAGTGAAACAGTCCCTCGTTACGGATTATGTTGAGCGCAGTGCGAAAAGTGCCAGCGTGCTTCATATTCGCGTACGACTTGTTTGCTTTTTCGCCCTGGATGTGCATGCGGGTCTTCATTAGATCTAGGGGAAAGCAAACTAGTTCGGGAATCCATGCTGATACCACGGATGTCAAATAGAGTTCCACAAAGGGAGTTCTCTCATTGGTGGACAGGTACGATAAGCGATAATCCGACCTGGGCGCCTTCTTATTGGATACGCATTCTTGTGG